TATCTACCCCGTACAGTTGTTATAAGCACCAACCACTTAAACAAATATGCATATAAACTGTTTTGAACTCTTATGGGACACAGAGCAAATTACCATCACCACTTACCATCAATCATTATAGGAAAAATTAAAATCGCCTTTACTAGAATGGATTCAAACATAATATGAATTTATTTCTTCCACATCCATGAGGATAGAACAAAATATGTTAATTTCAGTTTTTACAGAAACCTTATTGTTTTCTCACAGTCCATGTGCAATTATTAATATATTAATATATCCAGTGTGATACTGAAAAAAATCCAAAGTGTTTTCTCCTGCTTGGTTTGACTTTATGCAGATGTAAAGTTAAACAGAGAATATTTACCAAAGGTAGAAACTTCAGCACAAGCACAAAGGACTCCTTTAAGTAGATTAAGTAATTGAGTTAGTTTTTTCAGACAGGATCTACTTATTTTCATTCTAATAAAACTAATTAAGGTACTTGACTGTCACTGGAAAATGTCAATTATAATCTGTTTGAAATAATGAGGTCTTGAGGGCTCCCAAAACTCAAAATAATTTATCCAGTAATACCCTGAAAAATTTCTCTTAGTGAATAAAGGATGACACTAATTGAGCTATTCACCATCGAGGACTATTGTTAACTTTCTAGTTTCCCTTAGGTTAATAAAATGTTTTCTTACTGTATTTTTTTTGTCCATAGGCTTCTGTGTTATGTGAAAGTTAGCATAATTAGCTAAATTTAAACATTTCTTGTAATTTACTCCATAACCTACAAAGACAGTTTAGTAAAACATTCACTCCAATTTTCTCTTGGAAAAGAGATATGGTTAGATTCATATAGGCTTTTATAATCATAGACATTCATTATCAGTTGTCAGGGTAACATATTTGCATATCAGGGAATGCAGTTGCTAGGGGAGACAGGATTATATAGGTAGTAGGTTAGGGTCAAAAGTCTTCTCAAAGGGCTTCTAATCTATCTAGGTGAACAAACAGGTATAAAGTCTTTTAGGGGCTAACTTCTAAATTCTAAGAGGTAGTTGTCAATTAACAGAGGTATAGTGACTCTATATTTCTTTGATTAGTTACTGTGGACTTAAAGGTAGACAGATAGGAGAGAGCAGGAAACCCATCTCCATAAAACAGGTTGTTTATAACCACCTGGGCGCATCTCTGGGCAAAGAGCACTCATTGTCTCCGGCTCCCATCCTGTGGGCCATATTTGCCTTGCCTTGTCTTTCAAGACACAGGGAAGCTCACAGATTTTGAGATACTGGGAAGCCTTCCTGGGAAACATCCCTACTGGAGATTTGAGAGCTCTCCCATGATAACAGCCTCTAATAAGTGAACCATTGAGTTCACACATTCCTTCAGGGCAAAACCCCTGCAAACTCCTGTTTCTGTGTTTAATATAGTAATATAGGGTGATACAATAAAATAATGATCTATGAGCTACATCTCATTAATTCCTCAATCATATTTTCCCATATTTTATATGATTTATGTTTATATAAAGTAGTAATAGGGACCTTCTTGTCACCTCAAAAACTGATGGCAGTTTCCAGAACAATAACATAAAACATTATGACTTATACATAGTTTCATATTCACCATCCCATTTGATCTTCACAACAATGCTACAAAGGAGATGCAGCACTATCAACAGGGCTTCAATGCATTAATCTGCAGGTTGTATGTGATACAAGTCTAGGAGACACTACTAAATTGTAGTAGATACAGATTATTATATCTATTATTACTATTTCCCAGCAGATGGCAGTAGAGATCTTGAAGAAGGGTATGTTTTGTTTTGTTTTTTTGTAATTCCAACAAAGGCATGGTAGAGACTAGTGGTAGGGCTCATGTATTACCTTCCCCTTTATGAATGAGCCTCAGAGAAGTGACGCAACTCACCCAACATTCCTGATAACCAAGGCAGAAGCATACATTTTTTTTTTTTCCTGGAACCAGGTTAAGTAAATACCTATGGATGGGAAAACATAATTTATGTGCATAAAGGGAACTTTGTAAAATAAGAAAAGGCCAATAGGGTATGGCCTAGGTATGCTGTTTTTTTTAAAGGAGTTCTTTTTTAAAAAAATTATTTATTGTAATTGACAATAAAATTGTATACATTTATCATGTACAACATGTTTTAAAATATGTACACTGTGGAAATTGAGCTAATTATAACATATGCATTACCTCACATACTTATCATTGCTGTAATAAGAATACCTGAAATCTATTCTCTTAGTGATTTTCAAGAATACATTGGTTTTTTCTTTTTTTTTTTTAGCAGTTTCCAGCAGACTCCAAAATACATTGTTTTTAACTATAGTTAGTTCCCATGTTGTACAACAGATCTCTTGAACTTATTCTTCCTGTCTAGCAAAGGGGTTCTTGATCAAAAGGAAGAAAATCTTAATGCTGTATATTGCCCGGTTAAGAATGTTATATCCCTGCCTCTGAGTTTCTACATTGTCACAATGTCAAAAACTGTCGACTTTAACTAAGCACAGGTGTTGGATTTGGAGGCACTCAGCGTCCTCTCAGATGCAGTGTTTTGGACCCACACCAAAAGAAATCCTAAAGCATAAGGGGACTATGAAAATACGAACTGTCCCATTCCAAGCATGCTGATGCCATAAGCTGAAATATACAAAACTCAGAGCTGCCCAACAGCATAGCAAGTGCTATACCTACAACAGCCACAGTGTCAAAATCCAAAAAGTGTTATCACAACTCACTTGATGGCAATATTCAGACAGTTCTAAACTCCTGGGGCAGCCACACTGCACCTGACTGGCCTTTTATGGTCTTTATTTTTCCCTCTTGCTGTGAACACTCACTACAGAAGTGTTCATATTATTGGATCATTGGGTGCTGCATCTGACCCCACTGGGGATATCATAATATATATGGCATATGCTTCATATTACCTTTCCACATTCTGAAAATTTAATTTCAAAACACATCCGGCCCCATGCATTTCAGATAGCTATACCTAAAGTGCATTTGATCAGGTCCTCTTCAGACACTCCAGAACAGTGGTACTGACACACAGTATATGCTTTATAGTATATAAGGTCCGTTGTTTATCTGAATTGCCATGTTATTATCAACCCTCATTAACATCAAAGCCAATTACCATAAATTTTAGGCAATGTATCCTATAATATTTTTATAAGTTGTTTATTTATATAAATTAAACCCAAGGGAGTGCATAGCTAAGGAAAAGCAATCAGATTATAAAGAAATAATTCATGAGGAGATATACCCTGTTACACTGTACTCAACAGTTGGAATACATTAGGAAATACTGAAATGCTTTTTAAAAAATGCTGAATACAAGAAGACAAATGGTTACTCTGCCTAAAAACAAGATTAAAAGTTAATGTTGGGTGTGAGGTTGGAAGCTGCAAAGCCCTTCCTGTGTTGAGCCTGGTTTTCACAGCTATTTGGAGCAAACTTTGGGAGATAAGATCCTGCCTGTGGGTCTCTACGTTTTTGCAAACTGTCCACAATAATTAAGTGCTGATGAAAGATATGAAGGTACACAGATTTCTGGTATATTTAGGGAGGTTTTACCCAGTAAAGTTTTTCACACTCTAAATTTTGCTTTCTAGACCTTCTCACACAATGAAATTTACTTTTTTTTTTTTTTTAGATAGTTTTTCTCTGTTGCCCTGGCTAGAGCGCAGTGGTGTCATTGTAGCTCACAGCAACCTCAAACTCCTGGGCTCAAGCGTTCCTTCTGCCTCAGCCTCCACGTGCATGCTACCCACACCAGCCAATTTTTCTATTTTTTGTAGAGATGGCATCTCACTCTTGCTGAGGCTGGTCTCTGAACTCCTGGCCTCAAGCAATCCTCCTGCCTTGGCCTCCCAGAGTGTGAGAATTACAGGATGCACCTGGCCAGCCACACTATAAAACTTATTTCTGGATTCAAATTAAACATTGTAAGAATGAATTATTTTAGCGTACAAAAGCGCTGGGCAGGTAAATTGCAGGATATATTAAATCTTGATATAGTATTAAAAATAAATCTATTAACAAATTAACTCCATTGGCTCTTTAGTCTCTTATTCTGCTAATTTCATTTTCCAGTCATCATTTCTGTGGAGGCAGAAAATTATAAGCTCTGTTTGCTAAAAAAAATAAGTGTTGCCAGAGTCTTAATGGACTCTAATCATCAGCTGTATGTGAAGAATATTGGAGGGATAGGATTGCAATCGAAAATTAAGCCTCAAATGTAATCACTTACCAAGCGTGTTAAACCAGATTCCTGGTTCAGTAGATCTATGGGGAGCTCAACAGTTTGTAGTACAAATAAGCCCCCAGGTGATGCTGCTGCTGTCCTCAAACAACTTTCCTCTAGGTGTGGCAGGGAGGCCAGATGATAAACTAGAAAGCTATTTCACAATGAGGTAAGGTTAAAGGCTGGGACTCTGCACAAGGTATTTGATTTGAAGATGTTAAAAAGTTAAGGCTTAGCTTGGAATAAGAATCCTTTGGTTTCAGATTTATACCTATTCTGTATTCATACGGTATCCTGGCTAATATGTATATAGGAAATTTATGTATTTTAACGCTTAAGGAATTCCTGTGAAATAAGCATTAACCTGGAAACTATATACATAATTGATTGTGATAGGAAACTGCATTTTCTGTCATTTCACTTGTGTATAAAGCTTTTGATTTCTCACGTTAAGTCAGAAACACATCAGGGTTCTGTCTTTTCTTACACTTGATTGAAATTTAATTTGTGGCTCTAAGAAATATGTTCCTTAAAGTGATGCAAATGAGAGATTTCTCTTCAACACCCCTTCTGTCATGTCTTCCTAAAATATCATACTTTCAAAGTTTCTGGTTGAAGAAGCAATATTTTAAAAACGAATCTGGAACTAAAACATGAGAATCAGAAATTCCACAACATGCTACAGGCAATCTACAAGAAATTCAACTCTAGCAGCCCTCAACCAAGTTCTTACCTGCATAAGCTGCTGCTTCAATTTCTGTATTTCTGAAATGTTCAGCTCACTGAATAAGTCAGAGACAGGGTTCAGAGACTCTCCTTTCCTTAAGGTGGGAGTCCGATAGTCTCCGTTCAGTTTCACAAGCGGTCCATGGATATGCCCATTCATTTTGTCATCATTGTTTGGTTCGCTCCCGTCCTCAGCAAACTTGAGTCCATCTACCGAGATGCTGATGTGGTTATCATTGAGGGTGATATACTGGGAGAGCTCCTTCCGCAGGTTGTTCTTTTGCTCCCTTTCATTTTTTAAAGTCTCAAGGGCTTCTTCCAGTTGGTGCTCGGCGATCTCTTTTAATCGGATGGCATCTTCCAGCTGGCTGTTCAGTAGCACTGTCTCCTCTTCAAATCGCTTAATCTCATGCTTTAAGCCTTCATATTCAACCTGAATCAGACAGGATAAAGATGATTCATAAAACTAAAACTTGGATCTTACAAAACTGCCACGAAACACTCTAGTGGACCTAATCAATAAAAAAATACATAATACTAATCTACAAAATAAATCATAAAAAGCACATCAAATACCATTAAGGTAATAGAAAACGGTTTCTTTAGAAATTACATAACTATATGTAATTAGATGTTATAATAATGTAATATAAATACATTTTATGTATAAACAGACACAATGATATAAATGTATATAACTATGTATGTAATTTAATTCTTAACAAAAAATGAAAAAGCTGTCTACTGTCTTATGATTTCTTTTAGAGGATCCAGTGGTCAAAAGGGGGCACTGTTTGCCTGATAAATCAGGAATATTTTTTGTAATAATTTATCAGAATACTTACACTCTAAAGAAAGGTTTTATATCACTATCACTTCATTTCATTATTAATAAGGAGGAAATTTTTATACCCAGAGATAAATTTATTAAAAGACTATAATAAGAACATAATCTTAGTAAAATATGTTTGAGAGTAAAATGAGAAAGCAAAGTAATTTTTGTGTGCTTAAGAACAGAATCTGCAGGAACAGATAGAAACTATCTGATAACAAAAGATAGCTATATTGTCATCAATGTAATATTCTTTTGAATTATAACCAAATAAGAGCCTGCTCAGACAACCTCTTGGTCATGAAAGCCCACAGGTGCTAGAGATCTCTCCTCTGAGCTGATGTGCCTTCCTTGGGACCTTTTCCACGAATTTATCACATGCCACACGAGCCATCTGTATTTTTTAGAGACAGGGTCTCACTATATCACTAAGGCTGGCCTCAAACTCTTGTGCTCAAGAGATCCTCCTGCCTCAACCTCCTGAGTAGCTGGAACTACAGGTGTGCATCACTGTGTCTGGCTTCATGCCACCTTTTAACAAACATTTTATCTCCAAAATTACATTGTAATCTCCTTAAAGAGAGAAAGAACTTTTTTATTCACCTAGGTGTCCCTTATAGTGCTTCAATGTTCTTCCGTGGTGTTTAAAACAGAATTCTGCTCCTCAATAAGCATTTGCTAAATAAATAACTACGTGAATGAAAAAAATCACCTCTAGCTGAGCAGTGACTGTTCCTTCTAGATCTGCTTTTTCCTTTACATCCTTATACTTATTAATGCTAATTATAAGCTGCTTGTGGTCACTTGAGTTTGCTGCCCTGGGGCTCTCTTCAACATTTCCTACCCAGCAAAACTAAAGAATCCAACCACTTTTCCTTTACATTTGCTGACTGACTGCACTTCGACTGGGTTGTTACCTCAACCAAAAAGGCGTATTTTTCTCTTTATCCCTGGTAGGGGGAATGAAAGTTTCGTTCCTTGATTATAGGATTCTCGGTTGTTAGGAAGGAAGGAAGGGAAATTGAGGATAAAGTGGGAAGGAAGAGAAGAACCCATAAAACCACCCTGAGCAGGATTTAGTGCTCTGCAAGTGACCTGGGATTAAGGCGATTTGGAAATCAGAAGGGTCTTTCACCCCCTTACAGAAGGAGAAGCAAGGGTTGCTCTCAACGTGGATATGAGAAAGCCAGCCTGGAAACTGCATGGGACAACAGAGTCTGTGTGCATGTGTCATGGTTTCCTCCAGGCTGGCTTATACAATATAAAGTCATCTTCCCCCCGACCTCTTCCTTTTCTGTCCCTGGACAACACAGGACACCCTCCTGCCAATCTTTCCTAAGTATTTCAACCAACCCTCTGACTGCCCCAGATTACGTGATAGCTTACATTTGCAGGCGTTAATTTAGTTTGAGCTGTAGACCTTTCATGCTGGAATCTTTGTCAAAATGATGACCTAGACCAGAGGTTGTCAAATAGTACTATGTCCTCTGGAACAAATGCAGCCCACCACCTGTTTTTGTAAATAAAGTTTTACTGGAACACAGGCATGCTAATTTGTTTACATATTGTCTTTGGCTGCTTTTCATACTCTAAGAGCAGGGTGGAAGAGTTGCAAGAGAGACTCTACAGCCTCCAGAAATATTTACTATCTGGCCCTTTATAGAATAAGTTTGCTGACTCCTGGGCTAGACTTGAGGACATTAATTAGTTTGCATTGTAGCTTTTTAAATTCTGTAATCTTTATTTAATCGTTGGCCCAGACTTCCCATAATACCTAATCTCTTTCTATCTGGGCAGCTTCACTCATACCACTCACTCAAATTGGTGCAAGCTCCTACTATTTTCTTTTCTTTTCTTTTTTTTTTTTCCCTTTGACACAGGATCTTGCTGCATCACCCTAGGCTGGAGTACAGTGAGATCATAGGTTACTGCAGCCTGGAACTCGTGGGCTCGAGTGATCCTCCTGCTTTAGCCTCCCAAGTAACTAGTACTATAGACATGTTGCTACTATGTTCTACTAATTTTTTTAAAAAATTTATTTTTTATAGATGAGGTCTTGCTATGTTGCCAAGGCTGGTCTCAAACTCCTGGGCTCAAGGGATCTTTCCACTTTGGCCTCTCAAAGTGCTGGGATTACAGGTATGGGCCACTGCGCCCAGCATACCTCCTAGCTATTTCATGTTTCTCTGCCTGGGAAAAGGCTATCATCTGCAAAACTCTTACATTTATCATTTAAGACCTATGAATCTGATCCTAACTATGACGTCTTTGTTGACCCATGGAGGCAAACTGATCACTCCTTTCTGTGCCACTGTTGTTAGGCTGCATCATACTATTAGAGCTCCAGGCAAGTGGAATGACCAGGAAACAGAATGAAAAGATGCTTAAAAATTGCTGTTTGATATTTTAAAGACAACATCAAAGTAATCATCATGAGAAAAATCAGTACTTTGTTGGGATTCCTTATAGTAACTTCATAGTTTAGTAACTCTTTTGATTTTTAACTACATGAGGGTCATGGGTAGGTACCATAATCTTTTCAGAGCTTAGGAACTCTAAAGATCTTAATCTGGCCCAATACTGCCAAATCAAACACATGGCTTTAATTTTCATTTACACAAATTGCTAGGAGTTTATTACCCACCTTCCCTACTGGGACTATAAACTCTTTGAGCAGTGAACATATCTTTTGTCTTTAAAAATGTACATGGCCTCATAGAAAGATACCCCTGAAATACTGGTTAAATGAAATAAACATTAATTGAATACATTCCCTAGGTCTCTTATGGTATTACTGCCTGATACAGAAATATATCCTTGAAGGAATGCTCTTCATAATAGAAGTATGATTGAATTGTTAATTTTTAACAAGGGTTTTCAATGCTTAGATAACAAAAATGGATTGTTTCAGTTCCATATGTGAGGTATTAGGCACATAGCGTTTATTATTTCTTCCCTCCTCTCATGATCACATCTCTAAAAATTGAAACTAACATAATTTCCTTCCCTATTTAAGTAGTACTGGGACCAGGCACATTTTTTCCTGTCCCTATGTTAAACAATAATGGGACCACAGCGGGGTGTGGTGGCTCACGCCTGTAATCCCAGCACTTTGGGAGGCCACGTTGGGAAGATCGCTTGAGGTCAGGAGTTCAAGACCAGCTTGATCAACACAGCGAGACCCCATATCTATAAAAAATAGAAAAAATTAGCCAGGTGTGGTGGTTTTTGACTGTAGTCCCAGCTACTCAGGAGGCTGAGGCAGGAGGATCACTTGAACCCAGGAGTTTGAGGTTGCAGTGAGCTATGATCATGCCACTGCATCATGCCCAGTCAACAAAGTGAAACCCTGTCTCTAAATAAAATAAAATAATGGCACCAGACATAAAAAAATTTAGCTGCTTGAGGGAAATATTTGGCTCCTGGAAGATAAGGCTCTGACTCAAGTGAAACAGCTTCCACATGATTCACTTCAAGACCCTCACTTTGCTCTCTGTCTCCCAGCTCAAAGCTCTGTCATAAACTCTGTCCCAACTAGTTTCCTAGCATGCAAAACCTACCTGAAAATCCCCCAGTCCTGATCCTAAAACCCTTCTCTCCAAATCTCCCCTTTTGAAATATTATGAAGGCTCTGTCGAGGTGATTTCTCTTGTTGTGGGGTGTCTAATAAACAGCTTAGTTTGACTGATAGATTCTGTTGGTGGTCTGTCTGGAACTGACAGCTGAGACTTCTCTGTATGACGGCTGCATCTTCTTACACTTTTTTCAAATATTTTGGTTTGAAAAGTATGAAGATGTAAAACATGTCTGTAAGGTCAGACTTGATTTTATTTTGGATGCAGAACCAAATCAGCACACAGAGAGCTATAGCTCCAATTTCAGAGTCAATTCTTCAATGCTTCCATATATTTCATATTTAGTATCACAAAAAAAAACTGGCATGGTCAATTAAAATCTTAAATTGTAGCTGCTCCCTAAATTGAACTGTGTATGTAAGAAAAAGAAAAAATGTTTTTTTCATTCTTTCAACAAGTATCTATTTAATGACTACTGTGAGCCAGACCCTATTTTAGGGTCTATATATTAAATATTAATATTAGTGGAAAGAGATGGAAAATAAATAAATTAATGAATAAACAATTACACTGTATTTAGAAAACAATAGTTAAGAGAAAAATAACACTTAAAGGGAAAAATCATCTTTGAGCTAAGCATTTTAAAACAGCTTTGCTGTTTCAGGGAAACATCAAACCAGGCTGAAAGCCCATATGATGAATATGGGGCTTCTGCACAAAGCAACACTCAGCCCTATTTTGTGATGAGTGCCAACTGTTGTCATCTCTTCACAACAACAACAAAAAAATCTGTGGCATTTATATGTAAAATATTATACTTAATACTTCATTAATTAGAAAGAGAGATTATAGCTGGGCGCAGTGGCTCACGCTTATAATCCTAGCACTATGGGAGGCTGAGGTGGACAGACTGCTCGAGGTTAGGAGTTCCAGACCAGCCTTAGCAAGAGTGAGACCCCAGTCTCTATTAAAGATAGAAAGAAATTAATTGGCCAAGTAAAAATATATAGAAAAAATTAGCTGGGCATGGTTGGTGCATGCCTGTAGTCCCAGCTACTTGGAAGGCTGAGGCAGGAGGATCGCTTGAGCCCAGGAGTTTGAAGTTGCTAAGAGCTAGGCTGAAGCCATGGCACTCTAGCCGGGGCAACAGAGTGAGACTCTGTCTCAAAAAAAAAAAAAAGAAAGAGAGATTATGATAGATGTTAACATCTGTAAATAAAGGCTAACAGTAGGACACAGACATAGCACTTCCTGAACTGGAGAGACTTCTGGCATTACCATGTACCCGGTTGTCAGGGAGTAAGCCAGCATGGCCCTCTGTACAGAAAATGATTTAGCATTAATTAATTAGACAATTAATTGGGAAAATTACTATATGGCATCGAGAAAATAAAGAGATATAGAAATCTCTTCCCCTCTTTTGTTAAACTTCTGAGTTCACCATTGGATTCCATGTTTTAATTACTCTGAGAAGGGCGCTGGGAAACTCTATGTATGCAGCCAGACTGACAGCACAAATCCTCCCAGAAACGGTGTCTGGGTTAATGAATATTCACGGACACCTTGGCAGTCTTTCAAGAATACCTAACACTGGCCCTCATCAACCTCCCAAGTAAATCAGTGTGTGACCACCTACAGCCACGGAGGACTCTCCAGGGAGGCGCCTGGCTGGCCGCCTCCCACCCATGCGGAGCAGTGAGAATCCCAGGAATGGGGAGGAATGGCCACTTGAAATATTTGCACTTCAAGTAAATTTGTTTCGAGTCCTCAACATGCTTCACCAGTGACCAAAAAAAGAAAAAAAAAAAAATTACCCTTCTTATTTTAAGAACTATTCGATAAGCATTGTTTTGAAAATATTCTTCTAAGTTTAAATTTCTCTCCATTCTGAGCTCAGTTACCCCAGCCAAACCGAGACCTGGTGCCTCTGGAACTGCCAGCCCCCAGCCCACACCTGGGATTCAGTGCCCACAGGGGAAGGAATGTAAGCCCGATAAAGGACTGAAACTGTCCCCTGCGCTCCTTAGGAGACATCTTGTTCCCCCAGCACTCCAAAGTTGGGAGGAAGTGGCAATGGTCAGACATCAAATTTCAACTGTTCACTATATGGATTTTTTTTTTTCTTTTCTGGATTTTTTCCTTTTCCTTCTTAACCCTTCTATCAAAATCAGTAATATCTGAGACACAAATACCAGCTTGGGAAGAGAGTAGAAGTGGAAGCATCCATCTAGGCTAGCTTCTAAGTTTACCCAGGACAAGAATCAGGGCCTGCAGATTCTCCTATCTGTCCAGCCTAGCACAGAGCCTGGCATGTAGTCTGTTGACCTGAACTGAGAGGGCACAGTAGCATTCACACCGGAACAGAGGTTGTGGTTGAGGAAGCACCTTGAAAAGAACTTGAACATTCAATTCATTTTGCTTAATTACTTGCTACAACTGTATTCATAAATAAATTGTTCTAAAATAATATATTCAAGAATTATTCAATTATTGAATTCTTGAATATATTGGGAAATGCCACAATGCAAACCAATCAGGAAAATTAACCTGTCTAAACCTCACTATAGAAAACATTCATTCATTCATTCATTTATTTGGCAGAGTCTCACTCTGTTGCCCTGGCTAGAGTTCTGTGGCATCAGCCTAGCTCACAGCAACCTCAAACTCCTGGGCTCAAGCAATCCTCCTGCCTCAGCCTCCCGAGTAGCTGGGACTACAGGCATGCGCCACCATGCCCAGCTAATATTTTTTTTCTATATATTTTTAGTTGGCCAATTAATTCTTTCTATTTTTAGTAGAGACGGGGTCTCGCTCTTACTCAGGCTGCTTTTGAATTCCTGACCTTGAGGGATCCGGCCTGCCTCGGCCTCCCAAGAGCTAGGATTACAGGCGTGAGCTACCATGCCGGGTCTAGAAAACAATTATTTAAATGAACAAACGTAATCTTTGTAATCAGGTTATACCTGAAAAAGAAATTAGGCATTTTCTTTCTTATGAGATTTTGTTCTTATTGATTTATACTTCATTATCCCTTTCCCTCTATGATTTGAAAGCAATTTACAGGAAAAAAAAAAAAAGAGAGTAAAAGATATGTGACTGCAGGGAGATCTTAAGCTTGTAGTATAAAAGAAGCTTCTAGACTCAGGCTTTTAATGAGAAGCCATCAGGTTACATTTATTCTGATACTTAGACTCCTGAAATAAATTGATACACAGCTAAAGTATAAACTAAAAGTCTTCTTCTTTAATAAATCTTTATTGTACACTGTCCTACTCATAGCTGTATTTTTTCCTTCTATATTTCAGCTGAAATGGCAGGGTTGGGACATTTCAGCACATGAATATTATAAGGAGAAGATTAAGGAGTATAATAAATGTTGACAAGTTTCTTCTTGAGAAATAAAGAGGAGATTTAAACTTAGTGGTCAGGAGATGTAGATCCATCTGGACTGTAACTCAAAAAACTTCTTAAACCTTACCTGGTTCTGCTTCAATGTGGACACTAGTTTCTGCAACGTGATGTTTTCTTCTTCCAGTTCAGTATAGTCTTGAAGGAGTCGGGCTTCCCGGAATTTATATTCTCGAATTTCATCCTTCATCCGTATTCTCTGTAGCTCCACCATCTCATTGTTCTGAAACAACAGAATAAACAATCAACGCAAAGCCTCCTTATTCTAGATTTCATGATGTGTAAAGTCCTGGTAATTAAAAATAATAAAAACACCTCATGAGTGTAAACTGCTATTGCCTTTTCTTAAATGGAAATGCAGTGATATATTGAAACATTTAAAAATGCATACACATGACATAGCAGTTTGACATCTAAAAATCATTCTTAAATATATTTTCCTAGAGGCAAATAAAAAGAGAAATAAATCCACATATACTTACACAAAGAGTTGGAACTAGTCTAAGCATTTGCTATTTGGGGAATCATAAATTATCATGCATCCATTGGATACAGCATTATACAATTAAAAAGAATGAGAAAATAAAGAATGAGGAGGAACTCCAATAAACTAAAATGGAAATATAGCCACAATATATTATTAAATGTAAAAAGCAAGCTATAGATTAGTATGCATGTTAGGATCCCATTTGTATTAAAAAATACATGCGCATGCACATACAGGACAAATGCACGCTTTTGTATGATGAAAATATCTGTAAGAATACCCAAAAAACTGTCAATAGCAGTTATTTATAAATGGCTGGGCTGGGAAAGCCACAGGGATAAGCAGAGAAGCCTATTACTTTGATTTTAATATCCTTCTGGATCATTTTGTTTTTTTATTTTTTGAGACAGAGTCTTGCTTTATTGCCCAGGCTAGAGTGAGTGCCGTGGCGTCAGCCTAGCTCACAGCAACCTCAAACTCCTGGGCTCAAGCGATCCTTCTGCCTCAGCCTCCCGAGTAGCTGGGACTACAGGCATGCCCTACCATGCCCTGCTGATTTTTTCTATATATATTAGTTGGCCAATTAATTTCTTTCTATTTATAGTAGAGATAGGATCTTGCTCTTGCTCAGGCTGGTTTCGAACTCCTGACCTTGAGCAATCCACCCGCTTCGGCCTCCCAGAGTGCTAGGATTACAGGCGTGAGCCACCGCGCCCAGCCTATTTGATATTTTTAAATAACATGTATTACTGGGTCTAATGTGCAAACGTGCAAGATATAAATAAAGCAATTATTAAATACATAAAATATTTAACTTTTTCCACAAACGTGTGTTTTAGTTCAAAATATATAATGACCTGTATTATAAGAGAAATTATAAGAGATATTTATACATGTTATATATTCATACTCACAGGATGAAGGGATATAAAAGTTTTCTTTTAATTTAGGATTCATTAAGTTAGTTTCCTATTCAAACAAAGAGAAATGTGGGGAAAAAGTACTATAGAAACCAAAGACTACATTTTCTTATGTAATACTTGGATATCCATATGGGAAAGTAAATGAATCATGACTGCATTTGGCCTTCAGGCTAAAATTTGCACAGCCTTCATATAGGCATTTGTAGGATTGACAAGGAATAAAGTACTTGCAACATGGATGAATCTCATTAATATATAACGCTGACTGAAATAAGCCAGGTGCAAAAGTCTATGTAAAAGAAAAAAAAAAAAGCTCAAAAACATGCTATATGGGTTAAATTGTCTCCCCTAAAAGGTATGTTGAAGTCCTAACTTCACAAAGGTAAAAGTTAAAATGAGGTCATTAGGATAGGCCGAATCCAATATGAGTGGTGTCGTTATAGAGGGGGAAATTTGGCCATAGAGACAGGCACACACAGAGGGAAGAAGACTACGTGGAAAAATACAGGGGAAAGATGGCCCTATGACCACAGAGGCAAAGCCTGGTGTCGTGGCCCGTTTACAGGACGGAGGATGAACACAGAACACAAAACACAAACGCAGAACACAAAGAAAAACGCGGACACACATATAGACGGATGACTTGAGTAGTAATACACCGGGTCAGTTTTATTTTTATACTCTAAAAAATTAAAGTTAGTTCCTTGTATGTAACCACCCAGGCATTGCAGCAATGGCCATAAATTCCAGAAAACATAGCCTTAGGGAAGCAGATGTCCCCTGACTCAGAATCTCCAGGTGGTTGCTCTAGGCGCCAGGCATAGATCATGAACCGAGATTAGCAAGGATGGGCAAGGCAAGTCACAGGGGGCAATTCTCATTCCCAGCTTTTCTTAGGGTGATCCCCTAAGATCTTTGGCTGAACCCCGGTGGCTGTGCATGGCTTAGGTCACCCCTCCCTTGAGGGGTCTTACCCGTCATTGACTAACCAGCCATCTTATGGGGTGTACACAGCAATCACAGGAACAATGTGTTTATTGCGTGGCCTCCAGACCCCCAATGCCATGGAGCGGGGTAGCTATTGCTTACTTGCAACTCAGGTCCTTTGTTATGCCTCTAGGCAACACCTTGTTTTTGTTATGCCTCAAGGCAACAGGGGCCTTGTCCAAACATATTACTTTTAAATGCTCTGGGCAGAGCACGTACATTACTAAAATTAATTCTTAAACTAGGAAAATATATGTCAGTCCCCTACACCTGGAATGATGCATCTATAAGCCAAGGAACACCAAGGACTGCCAGCTGACACCACTAGGAAGAGCAAAGAAAAGATCCTCCCCTAGAGCTGTCAGAGGGAGCACAGCCCTGCTGACGCCTTGATTGCAGACTTCTAGCCTCCAGAACTGTAAGAAGATAAATTTCTGTTAAGTCACCCAGTTGGTGGTACTTTGCTATGGCAGCACTGAAAAAAGAATACACACTCAAAACTAATCTATGGTGACAGAAGCCAATGTGATATCACCTTTGCAGGAGGAGGGGAGTGACATGTGCAAGCCCTGGAAAATTCTTAAAGGTCTCTGTCCTAACAGAGGGACATCCCTAAGAGGATATCCGATTTTCAGTGTATGTTCTCAAATGTCCCTCATCTTGCTGCACTGTCTACAGATTTTGACTTCACGTAACCCCCTTTGACTCTGTTTTTTATAGTCTTCCCTGTCTGAACATGGAGATTTTTTTTTCCCTGCTGACTTCATCCCTTAGCACAGCTCTCCCTGGTTCTGCTTCTGCTTATGTGAAGAAAGCAAATTATAAACACATACTCTTCCACGTAAAAATGGAAAATTCGGCTCCAAAATCATTGATTTAGTTCTAGCTAATAAAAAAAAAGTCATTCTAAGGCAGACACTGCAATCTCTAAATAGTGGTTGTTGGCCCGGAGTCTTGAGAGGATAAGGGGTTGTTGATTCTGGTGAGAAGACAGATGTTAAAAAAATTATTCTGGTCCTTGCCATTTCCTGTTCCTTGTGGGTCTTGTGTCTTGGAGTCCGGCATGATGAAGACCTCTGTGCTCTTAGGCAGCTCCTTCCTCCTTTCTTTGTTGTTCTGGAATTCTTCTGGATTCGACTCAACAATAACTTCAACGTGTTCTGAAGATTGGTTGTTAGAGTGAGAAGATGGCTCTCCTCTAATGATGAGATGGAAATTAGAAGCGGCGAATTATACCTGGGAGATCACTGTCCTGTAACGGGACTGCTGTTAGATAACTATGAGTTTTCTTATCCTGTCCCTCATTGTGGGATCAAGAACATTGTGGTCCCAGGGAATGATGTTGTTATATTATCTGAGATCAATTTTACACCAGTGTTGGGCGTCCTCTATGAATTTCTAGTGATCTGCTTTGTGAGGAGGCGTAAAGCCCCATCTTTGTTGCATTTTGAGATGAATGGGTACGAAGCCAAAGCTGTGGATGATGGCCCTCAAGGGACAAAAGAAGGGTAAGCCTCCTGGCTCCTTCACAAGGTCAAAACTGTGAACTTATCTGTAGCAGCACTAATAGCAGCCACCTGTCCATGAATCACTGCACCAATAATGCCCGTGTTATGATTCCCACTTTTCCCGAAGACACAGGAGCAAGCAAGTGGTTCATATTTATCTGGGAGCCAGTTTCAATAATGCTGTTTTTACATCTGTCTGAAGATGAGTAGTAATCTGTTACCTGCTTGAATACCTCCCGGAATTTTGGATAGTATTAATATATATATCTATATATCTGTAATGTGATATTTAAACTTTTTAATGAGTTAATTTTAAGTAAAATTGCCATTCTAACTTCGTATGTGAGTTCATACACAATAAAGCTTGTCTATATTAAAAAAAAAAATTATTCTGACACTTGTTAAAATGGTAAGGAAGACGTCATTCAAGACCACTGCAACTGGAGGGGAGAGAGATGCGGTCAAATCTGAACCTGGCAGAGGCAAGTGGGGATTTGTAGCCAAGGACCAGAGTAAGGGGGTCAAAGGATGGGAAGTTACTACAAGGAGACATTCAAGGTAGGGGGATTCTTGCTAAGGACTTAGAAATCCAAAAGATAAGGGGAATGAAGAACTTGATCAGCTAGCAAGGGGTGGGGATGACTTAGCAGAAATCTTTGTTAAGGCTGGGCTGGAGAGGCCAAAGCTAGGCATGGGACAAAAACAAGACAAATAAAAAAAGAAATGTGGTTTTTCTCAGCTCTAGAAAGTTACTGCCCAAGCACCCTTTATAAGCAAGAGACTCTGATAACACATTAAATATATGAAACAGCAAAAAAGTTTCCTTAATTCAGCCAAGATAACTGGAAATTGTTAGTAATGACCAAGAAGCTCATAATATACAATCTACATACAATATCTCCTTTTCATACTCTGTGAGGGGAAAGAATGTCCTTCTGGAAGTTTCAATATCTTTCATAGAAGTCACATGATCTGGCCCTGCCTCTCTCTAACCACTTGGCCCTTCATTCGGTCTGTTCCAGCCACAGCAGGTTTCCTTCTGCTCTTCCTCCCACTGGACACGCCAGCTTGTTCTGCCTTGAGACTCTTTCACTTCTCTCTCCAGAACTCCCTGACTTCACGTCGGGGGTCCTTAACCTTGTATGGTACCATGTCCCCTCTGACAATGTGGTGAAGCCTGTGAACCTCTTCTCAGAATAGTATACTTTTTTTCCTTTTTAAAATTGTAATCTTATTTTTTTCATTTTTTTTTCTTCCACTTGCTTTTTAACTTGGACAATCAGAATAGTTTTTTTTTATGCCTATAGCCAGCTACCGG